TAAAGAGACTGAGAACAAAAGTGTTGATTTCTAAAAAAAAAAAATAAAAATGAATAAAAACTCCAGAGGTAAGTATATATTATAATGAAGACATATTTGAGAACCTGCAATAGTATCATGTTGAAAATTTTATTTGATTTTAAAGCCTTGGTATCATTTTTAGGAAAAAATACTGCTTAGCTCTAATTAATGTATTAAAATTTTAGAATGCTAATATATAAAATAAATCCTTAAGTTTCTATATTTCTAGATACTAGGCATGTAGAAAAATAAAAAATAGATTCATCCAACAATAGGTTTGTGCTTATGAACTAGCAAACATAATACAAGTTTTTCCATTTGCAATTTTTATTAAATAAATGACCAAACTAAACTGCTATTTTAATAAAGTATAGGAGCCGTATGTTCTCTAATCGACAAAATAAAGTTATTATAACACTATCAGACAATGTTATACTTTACGTGTGTTCTAGCATAGTATAAAATAACATAATTGGAACAGAGCAGCTTTTTAAAAGCCACATTAAAATAATGATGTATAATGACATTTTCAAGTTTTCTTGATCTTTTTGTTTAGACAAAATTAAAGTCTCTTTCCAAACACTCCTTCATTAAAATGAGCATTAAAAATAGCAAAGGTGACAATTGCCTTCCTCCATGAAATGATCTAGTATTCTAAAACTTTTCTGGGTATTAAAATCTTGGTTGTTTCAATTTTTTTTGAGGCATTATACTGACAAATTATGGAGGGAGCAAAACATTTTATTTCAGAAACTGATAGAATTGATTTATGATTTATGCACTGAAATCTAACAGTTTGCTCACTTATTTGTTAAGACATGTAATGACAAGCCCTACTAGTTATTTTCACTTGCATTCACCAGACAAATGATTTTATGTGTACTTTAATTTCAGGGAAAAATAAAATAAATTTTTAATATTGAAAAATCTGATTCAACCAAGATTTTCTTTTTTTTTTTTTTTTTTGCCTTTTTCCTTTTTATCGGTACCAGAGATTGAACTCACGACTGCCTGCTTGCAAGGCAGGCGCTTATGCCGCTGAGCTAAATCTCTAGCCCCCAACCAAGATTTTCTTCAATGGACATTTAGAGAAATCAAAGGGTCTTAATCATTTTATTCAATATATATTATCAATGAAAATCTTTAATCAACAGGCTCACTTTAAAAATATTGCAAAAATGAAGCTTTTTCTCCACCTCCATTTTCTCTGATGTTTCATGTTTGCTGATACTTAGACAATACATTATATTTAAAAATCCCCTTATGTAACATGTAAATTCTCTGAATACCTCCTTTACAGGCCTCTATATAAGTGCTCTAAATATTTAAATGTAATTATTTTTAGCAATATTAAGTTCTCACAGCAATATTAAAATTGAAAATATCTGTCTACAAGAAAAACTAAGGTGCCTTTAAGATATAATTTAACTCAGTTTTGGAGGCAATTATGTTCAGGTAATTATTTTGGAATACATGATAACACAATGCATTTCTGTTTTCTAATTAGCAAAACGTTTCTCTTTATTAACTTGTTTAAAATGTATTTAAGTGCTATGCCCACAGATAGATATAATTTTATATATTTGTTTTAAATCCTGTGTCATTTTAATATTAATAATAGCGCTTTTCCTTACACTAGATATTACACTCAATGTACTGTTGAAAAAATGTATACCCATCTGCAAGGCTCATGTACAAGATACAAGTATTAGTGTATATCAGAATCATGTGAAAGAATATACTTATGCTATTGTTACTAAGAAATATCATAAATAAATTTTACACAAGTAATTGCATAAAGTGCCTACTTTTTGTTAGATCCAGATTACAAGATTATCTAAATTATAATAGATAAATAACACATTAAATGGTTCTTTCTAAGGCCATCATATTATAATATTTCGTACATCCCATGATCAAAACTTGTCCTTTTTATCTGAAATTTTTAAATGATTTTCAATTAATCCACCAAGTACAGATTGCCAGAAGGCCAACAACTAGAGGACTTGGAAAAGTAACTGGACAGATATGCTATTATGCAGAACAGGGATTGAAAGAACACACTCTGATGTTCATGTAAAAACATAGTTTCACTGATGTCTGAAACTTAAACCTGTACCTTCAACATGAATATTAATTTTAAAAATTATTCTCTATTAAATCAACCATAGTAGGTCATTCTAATATCACTTCAACAAATGTTCACCCGTTAGTCTACAGAAAATATGTGAAATATTTTTGTAGTAACAAATACTGTATGTTTTGAAAATGTATATTTGCTCACTATATTTTAATACAATTAAACATCTAATAAAGTTAATATAAGATTCTTATGAAGTCCTTGTATACAAAAATGTAATATTTCTTTACTCCATTTTCTCTCAAGCAAGCTCATTTACTGTAATAGCCTTCTTCTAAAAATCAAGTGCTGTAATCTAAGAGTAAATATCAATCACTTAAAGATATGAAACAGTAACAGAGAACCAAGACTAAAGAATGGTCTTAGTAAGATAACCATGATTGTAGCCTCAGTGGCCATTATGATAACCATGGAGTTTGTTTACATGTGGGTACTGATGACTTACTTTCTCAACTTTTGAATAAAAGATAATCCAAAATAATATATGATATATTGAAATAAATGTTACACAAAGTGTAACAGTGTTAACACATGTTATCATACAATAAACATGTTTTTAAAGATTTCTTGCTGATTATACATTTGATTTTTAGAAATTTTTACTGCCAGATCCAGAAACAGGCTGAAACCTCTGCACTGGATCATTCCAAGAGGACAAGTTCTCCTTGAATATTTATATATAGGAAGTACACTGCCTAGTACACAGCACAGTTCAGATCGATCGATCGATCTATCTATCTATCTATATATATATATATATGTGTGTGTGTGTGTGTATATATATATATGTTTAAAAGAATGTTTCCTTCTAAATATTTATCACAGAACTTGTACATACCATAACAATCCACAATTTTTATTGAAAAAGGATAATTATAAAAAATTTCTGGAACATTTTGAAACACAAAAGTGAGAAAATCTGTAGAAATAAGCTGGACATTTTTATACTTCTACATACTATTTTCATATAATTTTAGCAAAAGGCAACTCAGAGTAATAAGTAAATCACTTGTCAAGGAAGTTCAAACTGCATAAAATTTAGTGCTGTGCAGTTAAAGTTCAAAAGTTTCTTTTCTTGCCTCAGTCCCCAATAATACTACCTATCTTTAAATTTCATTAACTAGGTTTAAGATTTCCTAAAAACTTATTTTTTCTCTTTAAAAAAATCCAGAGAGAAAAGAAGACTAATGGAAAATATCTGAAAGCTTATTTTATATGTCGTATTATTTTGCTTACAATTTTTGTTTCCAATAAAATTAGTTTTTAACAGTGATAAGTCAAACTTGTATATTCTCAAACCCTCAAATGCTTACTGGTGTTCATCGGTTAAACCACCCTACTGGACTGCTAAACTATCTTCTAAAGATGTCCCTGTCTACTTGTGCAATCATTCACTCTGACAATAACTACATGACGAATGCCATGGTGCCAGAAAATATCAACAAATTGCACTTGCATATCCAATAGGAGTGGACTTTGTTTCTTATGTTGTTTGAAATAGCTAAACTTTGCTATTCTATGTTTTAAATGATAATCTAAACTGAATAAAATGAGAGAGCAGCCCACCACACTTGTTACATTGGTATGCTTCCCTTACTTCTTTTCACACTGTTCAATTGTCAAAAATTACATAATATGGTTAAAGTAATGGAACACTTATTTGAGTTCCTTAAAAACAAAATTCAAAAAATATTCAATATATACATTTATAGTGGTGCTTTGGTTTACGAACTTATGTTGTTCTATGATTTTATAAAAGATGGTCATGTTGTGTTTGTATGGGAAAGATGGTCATGATAGTGTTTGTCACCTGATGCAGAGTTTGCAAATGTGTAACATTTTGCCATGTGCTTTTTTTGGGAACCAAAGTATCACTGTAGAATCAATATAGTCCCATAAATTCTACCTATAAACATAGCGCAGGTCTATCTGCTATTTTTGCTGGCCGCCACAATGACTACTCTCCTAACTACAGAGGACTCTTCATCCTCCTCTTTCCCAATTATCTCTTTGCTTACCAGTCATGGTGTTCTTAAAATGTAAAATGGCTCATTTTACTCATTGATGGATATCTCCCAGCTCATATTTTCTTGGGATAATACTCAAGTCCTTAGTGTTTTTTTTTCTCTCCCTCCCCTTCATAGAATCTGATTATTATCTTTCAAATCTTTCTTTCTGTAACTCTCTCTTTGCTTGGTAAATTCTACTTATCCTGGACCGAATTCTTCAAATATCTCAAGCTCATTTCTCCACTGCTCAGGGAGTTTCTCCTACTTTCAATGTGCATCTTTCTACTCCTCAGATTTATTTCTTTCTCTTCCCTAACAAAGAGGCTAAATATCATCCCAAAGCACACACATTTCCAACTTTCCCATTCTGGTTTGGGGTGTCACTGCTCATCCACAGAATTTAAACAACCATTATAATTTTTTATTAATTTACTTTTTGTACTCCATAATGATACAAAACATGTCTGCCTGCATTACCACTTTTCTCTACCTAAATTTTACATTCATCAAAAAATAATGCAAGAGCAAATGCAACTTAATTTCAATTCAAGGTCTATTTAAACATTGACATCTATTGAAATCATAAGCTTAATAGATAGCTATAGATATATAAGAAATTTAATCTTTCTGTGGGTGTAGAATTTGATTACTAACAATGTACACTGAACCAATTCAAACTATTTTGATTACTGAAATATATACATCAATCTCCACCATGTTTATACCCCCAATAAATGCTGAGTGAAGGGTACAAATAAGATACTTGCTAGGATTTGTTGACATATAGTGTGACTTATGCACTCAAAATCTATCTTGACTTAATGAATTACCCATGTAATTAATTGTCTTCATCCCGGGCATGGCAGCTCACGCCTGTAATCCCAGCACTCAGGAGGCTGTGGCAGGAGGATTGCTGTGAGTTGGAGACCAGCCCAGGCTACAAAGTAAGCTCAAGGCCAGCCTGAACTGCACAGCGAGACCCTGTCTCAAAAAGACAAAAAAAAAAAAAAAAAAAAAAAAAAAAAAGTAATTGTCTTCATAAACATGGGTACACACTGAGAGACACATCAACTGGGTTAAACATATTTTTGCTAAAGCAGAGTAATTTTTTAATAAATGGACCTCTGGTGGCTACCAAATATTATAACATGTATATTCATAGTTGCCTTGCACATGAAGCAAGACTGTATTTCATATACCTCAGAACTCAGTACAGAAATAAAATGTTCTAGATTTTGAGGAGATAAAATATGAGTTTTAAATAAGTTAGACACCTCATTAATACTGTCTTTAAATATATGGAAAATTAAGGCAATAAGAAATATAAATACACATGCTTTCACTCAGAAAAATGATCTATGAAAAAAATTACTTTCTGATTGATTCAAGGAGGTTCAGGTAATACAGTAAAATTGATTTATTTTGACTATACAACACACAGCTTTACAGTCAGTTGGAAAATAAGAGATCCTTCCTATAGTCACATTACTCTTAGTATCATGTTAAAAGAACGAGTAGTTCAGTTTTTTATTCATTGTCTTATTTGACCCTGTCTCAATTATAAAAACTGGAATTAGAAGAAAGGGGTAAAGATGCCTAATACACTCTTTCTGCCATGATTTTACTTAATTTGGTAAAACTATACACACAATACTAAAAATCTGTCACAGTTCTTAAAGAGACACATAACATAATTTTATCCACCATAAACAAATTTTAAAAGTAAACATTAGTAGAAATATAGAAAATATCCTTTTGAAAATAATAATATTAGTGATATTTTTGTGCAAGAAATTTAACTTAAACATGACATTAATCTTTCAACATTGTATATATAAAATTTTATAATACCCCATGTTTCAGATGTACAAAAATTGATATTTTAAGTATTCATAAAATTGCAAATTTAAAAATATTCCTATAATGTTCATAAGAATAACACTAAAAGGTTGATACTTAATCATTTATGTGATGTCTTCAGTATTTAACACTTAACTACACTTATCAGGCACAATTTCTAACCACTATAATTTAGGTTGTAAGAAGCACTTTATAGTGAGGCCTTACTTGAAACATTACTTTTATAATGCAGGGGGGGATATAGCTCAGTGTGAAGGCCCTGGGGGTAGTGCAAACAAGAAATGAAGACAAACAAAAAATATACAAATAAAAATATGATTATATTTTCTCTACAATTTTGTTTTGCAGAACCCGAATATCAGAATTTAACCTTTAGTTATTTTTTATACAAGTGTACTCCTATGCAAAACTTATGTTTTCAGTATGTTAATACAAATTACAAACTTTAGTATATAGTATTTAACAATTCGGTTCAAGTAATGAAAAATCGTGCACTATTCATTCAACATGAACTTCAGCTACTTTATAAACATAAACTATATATTTGATATTTGTTTTATGTAAAACATTATTAAATTACATGGAGAAATCATTAAAAGATAAATATTACCTGAGAAGTTAAAAATAGCATTAGTTGGCTTTTAAATTCAAAATAACTACCTGAGAAGTGATACTTTAATATTTCAATGGAATGACACTTGTGGAGACTCACATGTATGTTGTGTTCCTATTAATAAATCCAGTACCTAGAGTGGCTGTTCAAGCTTCACAGGTACTAAATATTTAGAAAAACTGTTACGTGGGAATAACTGTTAAGAACTTCTAGCAAACTTGATTATCAAACAATACAGCACTTTATCATTCATAATGATATAAAACTTAATAATCTAAATGTCAGACGTCTCAAGTATTAAAAATTGCTTTCTCCCATAAAAAATAAAATAATTACATTATTTTAATAATCCTCTATTTTCTTTAACTACCTCTTCGATTATGAACACCAACTATCCTTGAAAACAAACAAGGGACATGGTATGAACATATACGGCACTATAGGAGTGTGACACTACGATGGTCATCTTATAGGATGTTTTAAAAATCATAAGGGTTATGAATGATTTCCAAATTCACACAAGCATTTATAGGTGCATTCTGTCAGGTGCATAATAATTAGAAAAACATACTAATTGCATAAGTGAAAAATGAACAGCAATTCTGAATTCTACATAAAATATTAGAAAAAAATGATATGGTTGTACAGACACGAAAAAAATCTATACTGTTTCGCTTTCCCTCTCTCAATCTTCTCCTATTCCCATAAATACTACAGTATAGCATCCCAAGTAATCTGACCTCCACTTTTACATCTGCAAATTAATTTAAGGCCCTGAAACACATGAGCTGTATGTTAAATGGCAGCTCTAACTGACCACAGGTGTTTATATTTAAAGCCTTTAGAAAACCTCACAGATAGGGGTGGTCATCATAGCAGTGAGAGCACCCAACTAAGTACAGGTTGCAAAACTTTTTATGGTTGTTCCATACTTAATTTAATGAGATTTAGAATATAGAGGTGATGTTTTTGTAGATCTTTAAATATCCAAATACCCATGACAGAAATTCAAATCAATGTTTTATAAAGATTGTGTAAATAAAAGGAAAGAAAATACTCTTTAAGATTTTGTGTTTTTCATTCCCCTCACACACTCACCACTTTACTCAAGGAAACAAAGTCCTTAAAAATCTGACAGTGGTCTGCCTTTTTGACTAGGATATTTACAACTTGGAAAATTCACACTCAACATTTACCTACCTCCCTCTCTCACAAAACAGAAAATACAACACAGATCTGTGAGCATCTGGTCTAGGAATAATTTCAAAGCAATCTACATTCTGTGATCTAGAGTGGAAGGAAGGCTGAGTGAGAACAGGCAAGGGAGCCAGAGTCAGGCACCAGGCTGACAAAAGCCCCAGGGTACAGCAAGGAAAATCTATCATCTTATCCAGTTGTGTGCAGCAGCCCAGAGGCAGGCATCTCCATTAAGTGTGTGTGCCTTGGAGTCTGACCTCTGGCGGAGGCTGCGTAGGGGTCTGTCTGCCCTTTAGCCCGTGAAGGGACTCACGTGCCGCTGATGCTTATGCACCCATTCAAAGAAATCTGTGCACACATGAATCATAGCTCCTAGGGCCGCCGTCCCGGATAGTGCAGACTGAGTGTTTAGGTGAAGGAACACATATAAGGTGAGCCCTGGAGAAGCTGACCCGAGACAAGCTGCCCGCAGCAGGCCGAGAGTACACCAGCGCGCGAAGGACCGTCCTCCTCCCCCTCCCGCTTCTGACCCTGTCCCTTACCTTGGTTGTTGGAGACCTGACTACAGTAGCCCGGCCAAGCTGTCCTCAGAGGCAAAAAGAATCCAAATTGCCAAAGAAATTCTCGGACTTCGCAGCCCCCCATGGCTCTTGCTGGCTCCTCTCTCCTTGTGTGAAAGAAGTGGAAGCGGAGAGGCCAGGTGTTGTGGGGAGGTTGGGGATCCTGGTCCACATCTTCCTCTTATTCTACTTTCTCCTCCTCCACCCGGCCCGCAGGGGTGTCCCGGGGCGCCCACCGCGCAAGGCCTCGGGAGCAGGGCACGAGGGTCCAGGCTGCCCAGGTGCGGTGGCAGCCGCTTCGAAGCTGCAGCTGCCTGAGGCGCCGGGAACCTCCTGGAGGCTGGAGGCGAGGGGAAAGCACTCACCGCCGTGTCCCCACCGCGCGAGGACTATTCACTCGGGTCCGGCAGAGCGCACGCGGAGGAGCGAGCTCGGGCTGTGGTGTGGGGGCGGGGCCTAGGGGGCGGGGGCGGCCGATTCGCGGCCGGGATGGGGGCGGGGCCGACCGGGTGGTCTGGCCAGATCGGGCCGCCTCAGCGCCTCTCTGGACTGAGAGGCGCGCTGTGCGGGGCGGCGCGGCACTGCAGCGGAGCAGAGGCGGGCAGCGAGAACTTTCCTCTGGCCGCTGGGAGGAGAGCCCGGCGGGGGCTGCGGCCGCGCGGCAAAGGGTCCGAGGGAGCTGCGAGCTGAGTGCTCAGCCCTCGCCTGAGCGGCGTTGGCAGCGGCTTGCAAGGCGGGCACCTCGGACTCGGCTGCGCCCGCGCTGCACCCAGGCGGTGCGAGCCGCTCCCCGGCGTCTCCGAGGCTGCGCTCAGTCCCTGCACTTAGCCCCCATTTTGCAGCTGCAGCGCGGACCGTTTTAAGATGAGTCAGCTGCTGACCTTGACTCCCCCTCACTTCCCATTTCCGCGCTGGAAGAGGTGCTCTTTGAAACCACCCACCCCAAGTCCAGAGCTCTAGGCGCGCTGCTGGAGAGGGCCCCCAGGGTCCCCAGGGCCCAGGCTCTCGGGAGCGCAGGGCTGCAGAAGGGCGAGCGCAGCGCAGCTCTACCCAGTCTGGCGCTCTCCGGCTTGGCGGCGCGGCTTGTATCTCTGTTCAGCGCTGGAGGGGGTAGTGGACCGCAAAATTTTTTAAACAATATGAGTTTTAAACAATATGAGTACAAAGCACCAAGAAACTTTTCTTAAAATTAGATTAAAAGAATATTATAACAGAAGAAAGAGGGGAAGAAACAGAAGAAAAAAGTTTTAAGTTCATTTCCAAAATTCATTATTATTTACAAACCATAGTACCATATCTGAAATATAAACACGTACTTCAAAATAACAGTAACAATTGACTAAAACTAAATTTCTCTCCTTCCCCCACTATAACTACAGTTCTTTTACTATTCACAATATTTTTTTTTAAATAAGCCAAGGTCAAGCTTGTCATATTAAGTATTTCTTGGATAGCTAGTTGGTAGTCATATGGTAAGGTTTTAAAGAAAAAAAAATTTCTCAATATAGAAACACATTTCATAGAAAAAGTTTAGAGATGTTTAAACAGTATCAATTATATATCTGAATGCAGTACGGTATCAATTATATATCTGTTTAATAAAACTCATCTCAAAAGGTGAATTGGAATATAAAAATCATCACTTTTGACTATAACAAGATTATGTGAATTTGACATACTGTGTTTTCAAAACACGATTGCAAAAGGAATTACTATAACTATTTGAGCATTATTGTGTTATATTTTTTAAACTCTTCTTAGGAACACAATTGTCTTCCCATGAGGAAGATTTAATGGTTAATTACCTTGTATGAAGAAGAGTTTGTTTCATGATGATTGCATGGTTATTTCATGCGAGCTAGAAACACCTGCAGTTTAAAGAAATATGCTTCTTTTTTATTTTCTACCAGTGTTTATATATCTACTGACATGTGACACTTTCAAAATGATAAGCCAGTCAATGAACCAGATGCAATATCCATGTAGATTTATCTGCATTTGTCTGTTTGAATCATACCAATATTCAAAAAAGCAATCATGTATCATTTGTCACAGCTATATTGTTCAGAATTGTTTTGTATTCTTTCAGACCATTGTTTTTCATGATAGATGTGGTCCGAATTCAATTAAGAAATGATTAAAATTTTTATTAAGTAAATGATATATATGACACAAATCTAATCTACAATTTCATTTACAGTAGAAATAACAGTATCCATACATCTGCATATAAAATGCTGAAAAGAGGAAAGCCTAAGCCTGCAACTAATTTCTTTGAAGAAACAAAAGAATAATTATAATGTTTAATACTCAGCATGTTTCAAGGCTTGAGAAAACCCTAAGTATATTATTTTGGTAGAAGAGTAAATTAATCCATTTATAGAAGTGATTAGCATTCTCTGAGGTCAAGATAAGAGAAAGGAATACAAGGAATGTTGATCCTCAGGCATGTCAAAACATCAGGTTAAAAGATTAGGTTCATAGTTGAAACAATCCAAATTGCCTAAGCCTTTTTGGTTAATATAAAATTTAGAGACATACTGAGGACATCAATAATATATACATATAAATAAGTATGTGTGTGTATATATATATATATATATGTATGTGTGTGTATATATATATATACACATATGAGTTTTATATGTTTCAGTATCTAAGCAGCTAACTTTCAAAATTCTGTGAAATAATGTATTGTTAATTTGAGGCTCCTTGGTTTCAGAAGATACAAAACGAAGAGGAGACACTCTTTGTTTATCTCAGAAATTTTTACACGTGTTACTTTTGGAAGAAAACACCTAAAATAATTCTGCGTATTTTATTTTAGTATATGAAAATTTAAAAATCTTGCACAAAAATGATGCAGCTTGAAATTACATAAGGCATATTACTCCTGATTCTATTGTGATAATTATATATTATTGCTGTCATATGATATATTAGAGTAAAAGAAAAAGTATATGGATATATGCATAATGCACCTATCATGTTTATAAAACATTTGTGTGCAGTTAAGTGAAAACATCCTTTTCAGTACTTTTCTAATTCAGTAACTATTTACCAAGCAAGATTTTCATGTACATTTATGCCACATACTATGCAGAAGTTACAAAGATTATTTGCGTTTAGCTCTGATATCTCAGAGGTTTTATCATATTGCAGAGCACAGACACATGGATTGTATTATTCGAATAGAAATGATTCTGTACAGTGCCATCATGAAATTCCAAATTATTAGAGAAAAAGAAAGGAATCAGACTCTTTCCTTCTAAGGCATGAATCTCTATAGTTACTGCTTTTGTCTGAAGTAAACATGCTTTTGGCATAGGTTGGAGAAGCTATCCTCTGAAGGTTTGTCTATGAACTTTTACAAATGTTAAATCCATGCTAAGGGCTATGCACAGTGTAGTTCAAACTTACATTTTTAGTGAAATTGACTTACATCAATGCATATCAGGTATCCTCAAAAAGTAATTTACCTACAAATACAAAACTTTTCAAAATGTATTTAAATTTATTTATGAGTAGCATGTTATTTAGTATCTCTTTCATGTACCAGGATGGCCAACTGTATCAAATAACATTCTTTTCTTTGAATAATAATATCATTAAAGAACATTTTCTAAATATCAATGGAGTATTTTCTAAATAGCAAAGAAGGAAGATATCTTTACAATTTTTTGTATAGTGAAAGATTTCTTATTATTTCCATTATAACAAGTTTCACAGGATTATTGCTATTAATTTCTATTCAACTATTCAAAATAGACAGCTAATCAAAATATACCTTATATTTTATCTCGCATTTTTTCTACATTAAAATAATTTATATCTTATTTCATGAAAAGATAAGGTTAGATTTTTGAAGAACTCTTTGTTATGTCAAATAATTAAATGTTAAATTTATTAACTAATTATGTATTTGAATAAAATTATCATCTAAATATTCTAGTTATTGTGATACTGATAATGCAAGGTATTCTCTTTTGCTACACTAAATCTTTTATGATTTAAACATGCTAGATCTAGAGAAGGAATTCTGAATGCATCTTGTAAATTGGATTTCTTGAGTAAAATTCCTACTTAAAATATTTTAGTGTAGTTTATAACAGGTACCTGGTTGTATTTTGGCTCTCACTTCTATATTTTTTACATATTAAATTTATAAATAAAACTATGAATCATGAGAGCCATTTTATTTTATATAAAGTGAACAACAAAAATACAATAAATCCTTGACATGTCCAGTGTGCCTTTGCAGTGAGGAGTTCTGTATCATTTTAATCATAGCATGTTTGCTTTTCTATGGCTATTAAAATGATTTTAAATATCATATTTATTAGACAACAAAAAATTTTGTGGGACTCACTTATACAAGTGCTCATTTGACAACTAGTATATGTTTTCTCATATGCTTCCCTAAATTTGATACAGACACAATTAAAAACTTAAAACATTCAAAAACAAGAAACATTTCTTTTGCATCTCTACCAGGTATTAAAAAATGAGTTATTTAAATAAAAATTACATTTAATTTTTTGCTCAAGTTTATCATCTCTGTAAGTCTTTTCATAAAATATAATTTAATTCTTGGCCTATTCCAGCAACAAAAGTATCTAATTGTCTCTGTCAAACATTAAATACTTCTATTGAAAACATTTGAATCAATCTGTGAATGTAACTTTACAAATTACTATATGTAAATAATGTATGTTACATCTTGTGCCAAAGCTGAATTTATATGAAAATGATATTTTGCTCCTCAGAGAACTACAGTAAAGTTAGTATACTTTAAAGTTAGTATGAGAAGAGTTTTAAAACTCTATTGAAATTTATAGTATTTGGAATTGAATTATGACATCATTGTTATTTTCACAGTTGAAAATAAAATTTCCTAAATTTATGCAATAAAACATAATTGCATGATTGACTTAGGCTGCTACTAATTTAAGGTCAATGTCTATTCTATATTTATTTGAGCCTAATTATTTATACTCTGCCTCAAAAATATAAAAATATAATATATATATTTAGAATTTTTTAGTGTTTCTGCCCAATTCTAAATAATGGAATGTTTCTTGCTCATTGAGATTTTGTTCAGTTTTCAAATAAATATCACTGTAGTATTTATCCCAAACAAATGCTATATGCTAAGTTGATCAAATAATATTTTCTGTTATGTTAGAAATACATCTGAAGCTCTGTTAAATAGAGTCACCACCTATTTAAGACATCTTATGAAGATTTAAGTGTTTCTAGCATGACTCAGAAGCTGACTTTTTAGTTTTAGATTTGTTAGTTTGTTTGTTTTAGTTTTAAATGCTATACCCATGTTTAGTAGTAGCAGCTGCCTTAGATTACACTGTCACCACTTTTCAATATTTCCACCTTGATAGCAGGGAAAGAAATTAAACTATTTTAAAACTATCA